CTTCTAATAATAAAAACCCAATTTTAAGAGCACAAGAAACACTTAGAAGCTAGACCTACTACTTAACCCCAGCAGTCCACAAGAATGCCAAAAACACATTCACTAAATTTTTACCATCTCACCCAGAGTTAGTGAGATCTGGAAAAGGATCTCATATCAGCTCACCAGGGCAGCTACTCAGGTAATATATAGTCAAACATTCTCCTTTATAAAAAATAATAGAGAGACATAAGTCAGGCTCCTGTTATAGCAGACATAACGCTTTTCTGAACTGGTTTAATAATAAAATACTTGAGCAACTTAGCTTTGGCTCTGAAGTCGGCCTTTACATTAACAACTTTTATTATAATTCTCCTTGCAGAAGGGTTTATAATGCGTACACTAAAGAAGCACAGGCTGCACACTAATTGATACAGTTAAGTCACAAACACTTCCGCATAATTACGAAAATATCAACTCCATGGGCTCTCTCGGTTACCTATTGTTACGTGACACCTGCCCAAAAACTTAGTGGCTTTATTTGCTCACAATTCTGTGGGTGAGCAATTTAGCCGATCGCAGCTGGGCCGGTGGCTGGCAGGCAGCCCCAAGATCACCAGTGCAGATGCAGCCCCTTGGGAGCTTGACTTGGGCTTGGCGCGCAGCCTTGTCTCCAGCAGGCTAGTGCAGGCTTCTCTATGCAGCCGTGGAGGAGGTCCCAGCAACAAGAGAGGGCAAGATTCCACGGACAACGTGCTTCGGAAGTCTGTCCCTGTGTAACGTTTGCTCACACACCACCGGCCAAAGCGAGTCAGACAGCTAAGCCCGGTGCCGGTATAAGGAATACACATACTGTAGATACAGTGTAGATTCAGGGATGTGAGTAATTAAGGGCCATCACCATAACAATGCCCCACAGTAACTGTTAGCTCTTTTTAGCCAAGTAATAAGAGTGATTTTATAATTTAAAGGATAGCCTTCCATTTAGCAATCCTTATTTTCCTCTTGGAAGAAATGAGAACTTTACAGAAAACAGTATCTCCTAATACAGTGGAACGGGAAACAAACCTAGCCTTAGTCTTGAGCAAATGACAGGTTTCTTCAATCCGGCCTTTCTAACCTTCAACTAGAAAGTAGTCTTTACCTGCCACTGATATACAGTATGGTCTTAAGAGAGTTACTTATTTTCTCTGGGTGTTACTTCCATCCCTGGTAAAATGGGGATTTCACCACTTGTCCTGAATGTTGCACATGGTTGTTTTTCCAGCTGAACTGGATCCAAGTTTTTCAACATTTATTGAAGACCAACTACATTCCAGGCTTGTGCTGGGAAAACAGAAACTATAAAGACATTTCCACACACTGTATAAGAATGTGAGTAATACTTTAAAAACTGAAAAAAATTCCAAATGTATATAAAGCATGATGTATTTGTGTAGAATACCACAGAGAAGTTAAAGTTAATGAACTACACCAAACAACCACGTACTGGGAGTACACTCGACACCACACAAGGGCATCGGCCAAGGGGGTGAGTAGATGCTGAGGTCCCATCCACACTGGGTTTGCCAAACCACAAACCTTGCAGGCTTCATGTGTCTGCAGAAAGGAGTACTTCTTTTTGTATACAGACCTGCCTTCTGCTTACGTAAGGGGCTGTTTCAGTACACGGGAAATACCTCTTGCTAGTTCTCACAAAAGCAAAGTGGCCCTGACCGGTGTGGCTCAGTGGGTTGGACGTCATCCCACAAACCAAAGGGTAGCAGGTTCGATTTCCCAGTTCAGTTCCCTAGTTTGATTCCAAGTGAGGGCACATGCCTGGGTTGTGGGCCAGCTCCCCAGTTGAGGGTGCTCGAGAGGTAGCCACACATCCATGTTTCTTTCACTCTCTTTCTCCCTCCCTTCCTGTCTCTAAAAATGAAATAATAATATATATATATTAAAAGATGAAAACATATGGAGTTAAACTATAAAGAAAAGCATGGGAATGAGTCAAAATTCAAGTTATCAATTTCTACTAATTAGGGAGGAAAAAGGCTTGAGAGAATTTCAAAGCTCTAGTTTTTATACTCACACTTTGTACCTTTAGATATTTTATAAGTATTTCGTATATATATTCGACATTGAATAAAAACAATTGGAAAAAAAAGACTTGCTACCTGTACTCAAAAAGTTTAAACTCTATAAGAGGAAGAGAATCAATGTGTGTGTATGTGTGTATAGATACACACACGTGTGTGAGTGTATAAAAAAATAAGAGACGTAATAGGATGTGAACTTTGAGGAAGGCACAGTCCGACAACTTGGAATGGGAGCACCCAACTGGCTGAGGAGTGCCCGAGTGCTTCACAAAGGAGTGTCTACCCCACGGAGTGGTAACCGTACAAGTATTAAACGGTTATTCACAGGATAATTTCCGGTTTCGGGGTGATCATTACAACTGTGTAAGCAACATTTGCTTTTGACTTTTAAGAAAAACCTTAATTTAGAACTTAAATAAAATTGTATTATTTGTAAGAAGGGCAATGTGAACAGGAGCTGCTGCACGGTGGGTCTAATAAATATCAAATGAAACCTGGGAAAAATGATACAGTCACGATTCTTTTTATTTTATTCCCCAGAATAATAGTTAACAGGAAGTACAGGAACATGCTGGACTAAAGAAACCAACCACTTGCTCAAAAATCTATATAATTTATCTTCACAATCTACACTGGGTTAAAAAAACCCTTCTCTAAAATGCTAAGGACAGAGTAAGAAGTGCCCATTTACAGTTTTAGAATACTACTGTATTTGTAACATCTCCATGTAAGTACATGTAAACTCATTATTTTAAAGTCTAAGATAAAGAACAGCTGTGGGGTAGAGAGAGTGGGATAAAATTGGAGGGGGGGACTTGAGTTTTATTCAAATTACCTCAAATATCCCATGTTTCAAGACTGATGAATAGGGAACTTCATAAAATTGTGGGCCTGCCTTTGGTGTCTAAGCCAAGCTTTACGCAGGTCCCTTTTCCTGAATTTTATTTAGTTAAAATGTAATCATTTTCAAACCAGACTACTTAACTTACAGAAAATTTCCTCTATTTTATTTTAACTGAGAAAGTGTAGCCATTTATAACCTACTATATTAAAAATATAAAAATAACTATGAGAAGACAAGTATAAGCTTCTACTACACACTTCTATTACAAATTACATGATAAACATGTATCAAACAAATTATCACAACCATCTCTACACAAAACTTTCAACCAATAATATAATTCAGATTCAATTGTATTCTATCCAATGTAATATAGTTCAGATTCAAGTGTATTCTATCAAGTACATTATAAATTAATATTTTTGCTACTAATTAAAACTATGAACTAGGGTTTAACAATAGGTTAACAGGAACAAGAGAGTAATTTCAGTTTTATTACAAAGAAGACTATTTTAAAAGTTAAAATAATATTTAAAAGTCAAATTGGTATTCCTCATTATCAAATGATAATTTTGGACTGTACTCTCAAAGCAAAACAGCAAGATCATATGTACCATACCAATTTTCAAATCCAATTACAGAGCCACTTGAAAAAGAGTTGCTCATTTTAGTTCCATTGCATTAAACACACACACACACACCAACACCAAGCTTACAACTGCTCATTAGTATTTTGTGATCAAGGTGCCTGTATCACCATTAACCAATGTCACTCTAATAAATTTAATCGTAAAAATAAAATTTAAATTTAAAAAAATAAAAATCACAATAAAAACAAATGTGCTGTATCACATTGTAAATCTTTACACCTAAATCCTACTTAACCAATTCCATTATAACAATCAGAGGAGCTAACATTTATACCTCCACCTGTATTCAAAAATATATTTTTTAATAAAAATACTTATGTACTTTATAAGGTATATAAGATGCCTTTATAAGACAATTAGGTTCTTTATGAAAAAACAGAAACTGATTTAAATAAATATATTGTTATTTCTTAATCCCAAAGCCTACAATCAAGTTCAATAAAATTAGAACAAAAATGCTATTCCACTGTCTACTGCTATACTATTATAAATATATATGTACATACATGTATCTGTGTGTGTGTTTATATGTGTATACAGATGGTATTTGATTACACAGTAATTTTGGGAAATTTAGAAATTATGGAAAATCATAATACCCACAATCCTGCCATTCCAAAAATACCTAGTCACCCACTATTAGTATTTGCCATAATAATAGCTTTGTGAATTTTATTAGTGGGGCCTCTTAGTAGTGGGGCTTATTCTCTGATTGAGACAATATAATTTTTAAATATGTTAATAGGGTCATATATAGTTATAATTTTCTAACATTACGCCATCTGTGCATATAAGTCCACATGTGGTGGTAGTGTTTGATCTCTTTCACACATGGCTGGACTCAGTTTGCTAGCACACTTTCACTTTTCACTTCTATATCCCTAACTGACATAGACCTCTGGCTTCTTTCTCACGTTTCTGTCTGGTTTGAGTGTCAGAGTTATATGGGACCTGCAGAATGAGTTGGAGAGCGTTTGCCCTTTCTCTATAGTCTGGAAAAGTGTGTATAAAATTGAGATGATCTGCTCCTTGAAATTTTGGTAACATTCATCTATAAAATCATCCGGGCCTACTGTTTCCCTCATGAAGCAATTTTTTCCTTCAATTTCTTTAAGAATTATCAGATTATGTAAGCAAAGTATTTCTTAAATCTGTTCTGAAAGTTAAATCTCTCAGGAATTGATCTACCCCCACCCACAGCAATCTGGACCAAAAATGGACAACCTTTCAAAATTGTGACACCTTCTTATCTGAATTTAGAATAAGCAATATATTTGGAGAGCACCGAATAACATAAGTCATTTTGTTGGTTTTTATTTTTAACGAGGGAAATGAGAACCCCTGCAACAGGGATAAAAATAACCAGGTGTATCTTGGCACCACAACACCTTCATTGCTACTTCTGACAGACAGAAGTGGGGTGCACGTATGGTAGCTGCCACTTACCACCAGAAACCGGGGCATCCATGAAAACTGCTCCCATCTTCTCAACCTCTTTGGCCAATTCTTTTGAGACTGCAGGATCAATAGTACTGGAATCTATTAATAGTGAGCCTTTCTTCACTTTTCTAAGTAAATAAATAAAAAGAGTCTTTTTAAAAACTATAGTGTTAAGAATACAGTTTACAATGCTGAATAAACATTTCATACAACTTCCTACAGAATCAGAATTTGCTAAAAAGCTGCCAGATTATCAAAGTTGTCTTTGGGGGTTTAGTATTAAAAGCATTATCAGAAGTGATTCAAAATGTCAAATTCATTTTCAGATTAAATACAGCACAAAGGAAACCCACTCTTTCAAACAATCCAAAATAATCTAGTAAACGGGTGTAAATTCTGGTTTTAGATGAAATACACACTAACTATAATATAGGTTAGGTAAGCTGAGATTTAAGCAATTTAAAATACCTATTAACTTTAAAAGAGGTATTGGATTACATTTTAATTTTTGTTTGTAAAGTAACTGGGTCTCTTTTAAAAGTAATTGATTTGGATTCAAAAAGCCATATTATAAATTTCACATATCCATCTTACTGCCACTAGCTAGAATAAATATAAGCAATTGAAATTTAGCCATTTGCTTCAGAATGGTGTATTCTTTAATGACTAACTTTTTAAAGACAAAATAAAATATCAAACAGGCAGAAAGGGAAATATAGGAAAGGACCTGGGAATCTCAGTCTTTTTGTTCTTTATGGTAAATTTACATACATACTTTGCTAAAAAGGGGAAGCGGCCTTTTCATGTATTATATTTTACATCAATATTAAATAGAATCTGACAGTAAAACATTTTTGTTTGCTCTGTAAATGCAAGCTATCTACCTAGACAGTTCCCTTACAACCTATAACCTAACTGGCTAGGAAACTCTGACCTAAATTATAATTTATTTAAAGCACTATGGTTAACCTTTCATCCAAAATTCTCGAAGTTCTTGTTACAGATAAACTAACCCAGAAGACATTTAATAAGAATTACGACTGGGAAATTAGAATTGAATGAATATAAATCTTGAATGGGCAAATAGATAATCATTGCTAAACACTACAGAAAAAGAAAAGAAAAATCTTCCTATAGAAAAAAATAGCACATAAAATGCTTATAACAATTTCAGACATATGACTTGATCTGGTCCCAATGCAATAATTGTGTGTATTACACAGGAAAATAAAAAAGCATTCTCTGATACAGATCACTTGATAAGTAAAGTTTCACTTTGTGCAACCTAAAGATAAGAATTAAGTTTACCAGTCTTTTGTGATATTGGTACATTTAAGATCTTAAATCTTTAAGAAATGGGAAATCAAATAAAAAATCACACATACACTGGGTGTAGAGAAATGATCCTGACCCAGAAGGAAATAAAGAACCACCCAATGAGAAGCAAATTATAACTCAACGTAAAGCCAAAGTCTTTCAAAGCACTCCCTAAACAAGACTGCTCTGGTAGTTGGCCACCATATTCCTGAGTAAAGGATATTAATAAACATAGGATTTGTCTCCGCGCAAGTTTTTAGTAGCTTTTCCTTGAGAGGTAATGCAGGGCCATAACTGAAACAGACTAGGTCTTCTCAGGACCACACACACCGCGGGCCTCAGGGCTCCATCCAATACGAGTGTCTTTCAGCCTTCCCGGAAATCTAAACATTTATCTTATCACTTTTCTGCCTAATATCCAAGTGTCTTTTGCTTCCAGGTTTGTTAGTTTTCCAAAGCAACTCAATTTCCCAAAACCTCAGGTTTCATATTATTACAGCTTCATGAAATTAAACCCTTTCTTTTTAGCCCTCCATATGTCTGCAGGGCCTACCAGTTCGTTCCACCTCGGTGTTGAAATTCAACAACAAAGCAAGTTGGGAACAGGAACCACTAAGACCAGAAAACTGAATTGGGAATTCAACCACGGTCATCCTAACATAACCACAAGAGTTTGGCAATAGACAGCAATTAACCAGGAGGTTCTTGAAGCCAGGGAAGCTAGGAGCTGGGTAGGAAACTCTGACCTAAATTATATTTTATTTAAAGAGCAACTGCTAACCTTTAATTCCAACTCCTCAAAATTCTTACTGCAGATGTACTAACCCAGAGGACATACAATAACTTTTTATTATATAATAAAATGTTAAATAATGGTGTTCTTTCCAATGTTTGGTTTTATTTTTCATAGAAACCTTTTTCTGAATTCCTATAAACCATGTTATGCTTGTAACATTTGTACACTTTAACATGCAGGCTTTAAAAGACTCTTAAACATGTTACCAATGAAAGCCTAAGTTTAATGCAAGAGTTAAAGGAAAGACACAGAAGCAAACAAACAAAAAAAAAAGCAGAAAAAAACCAACAACATATTCCCCAAAGTCACATACTTGACTTCAGTGAAAAAACAGACCCTTTTACAATGAGGGAGCAACCACACCATTCACTTTTTAAAAAAAGGAAATAGTACAGCAAGGTTTAAAAAACATAACTGTAATTCCTTAAGAGTTCCAACAAATGTGAAATTCATAAACTATGGTAATGAGAAAATATCCACAGTTGAGAAATACATACTTTAGAATTCCATTTGCTCCAGAATAAGCTTCTATTGCGTTAGTACTGGTGGGCAACATTGTAATAATTCTGTCAGCTTTTTCAGCTACATCTGCTGGGGAAGACACTACCTTAAAAAAAATTTAAAAGGCACGTTTAAATTAAAATGCAAGCAGTTTCTAGAGCACAAGTAGGACCCACTTTTTACACATGTCAACAACACTGACAGTGAATAAAAACTCATCTTTGTTTCCAAATGACAAAAAAACAGGAACCTACTGCCTAAAAGGGAGTCCATTCCTTACACATATACAGATGTAGTTTGTATGGAATCAAATCTACTGTTTATTTTTAAAAGTGTGAAGTGAGTTGAGGGGGAAAGGGCAAAACCCAACAGTCCTGGGAATAGATACATTTCTCATGGATTCCTCCAACTGGGACTCTGAAACAGCACACTTTTTGGTAGGTGCTTTGACTAAGAAAAACATTCTGGTACAACAGGGGCCAGTAACCAAACTACAGGATTCAGCAGTGATTTCCATGGACAGCAAAGTCCCCTAGTAAAATGACCAAGCCCCAATCCTCCAATCCCTGCTTCAAAAAAAAAATTCAGCCTGTTTCAGAAATGGAAAGGTCAGGACAAGGACAGGAACACTCCCTGCACTGACGGTCAGTCCCACCACCAAGGCTGTGAGTGGGAGCTACCAGGACCCAGGTGGGAACCATACCCCAGGGTGACATCCAAATGGACATCGAGGTACGCTCTCCTTTCAACCCTCATTCCTGCCTCCACGGTGACCATGAACATGCTGGGAAGCTGCTCTATCTGTCTTCTGCATGTGTGTGGGCCTGTGTGAGTGTGCGTGCCCTCCCTCACGGCCCCCAACCACCGTTCTCTCTCATGTCTACGTCTCGGTTCACCGGGCCAGCCAGGTGGCCACCAAGGGAAGTCAGAAGACACCAGGAGCTCACACCTTGACTCAGTCTCCTCAGAAAGAAGCCCTTACTCCAACTGTCACAAAAGCTCCTCTAAAGCCTTCTCTCTCTTTAGAAAAGGACAAAAGATTAGCAGGAGAGTAATCGAAAATTTCTCTGAAGAATTATTGACATATGTGTTACAAAATGACATATTTTTCTACCAAGAAACATGAAGTGATATGTGAGCATCTTAGGAATGGGAAAGCCTCTGCTTCTCGTGTGTTGAAAATATGCATAACATTTTCTTGTCTTTGGTGCACAGTTCATGACAGTGGAGGAATGGGAAGCAAAGCACAGTGTGTAACCTAAATATTATGAGCTGTAAGTAATCGCATTTCAATTTTCCATAATAGACTATCACCTTATAAATCATATTCTAGATAAATGCAATTTTTGTAACATTTACTTTCTTTTTTTTTAAGAATTATTTATTTTTAGAGGGGGGGTGGGAGGGAGAAAGAGAGGGAGAGAAATATCAACCAGTTGCCTCTTGTACGCCCCGAACTGGGGGGTCTGGCCTGCAACCTGGGCATGTGCCCTGACTGGGAATCAAACCAATGAACTTTCAGTTCGCAAGCTGACAGTTAATCTACTGAGCCACACCAACCCAAGGCTAAATGAGATTTTAACATGAAGTAATTTCCTAAGTTATACCTTAAAGTTTCAGATACTCAACTATTCCAGCACTTTGTGTATTAACATTAAATGATAATATCAAACAACACAGACACTAAAACAACAAAAACAAAAGACATTCTCTCTCTTTTCAATGTTTTATTCTAAAGGCAATACAGCATTTTAGAGTCTATTCAACATGTACATTTTGATACATCATGCGATCTGCCACAAATAATTCTGAAAAAATTTTTCCATTAATTGCAACAAAATACATAAGTTAAATGAAAACCTTTCCTACACCCATAGAAATACTGAAATTCAAAGACACAACTATTTCCTGGCAAACGGTTCAAGTTCTCCCATGAAAAGCACAGATCAGTAAGATGAAGAAATAAGAAAAGGAGAAGCTACAGGAGCCAGAGTTCTCTATGTCCGACTGTATCAAGAATACGGGTTACAAAGAGAGCCCCATTTGCTCGTCCCCTCTTAAAAGATGTAATAGGCACAACACAAAACAGCATACCTGTCAGCGGCCTTTCCTTCTATGGCAGATCTTCCAGGCACTGGAAGCCTTCAGGTCTAAGAGTCCTCCCTCTTAGGAATGGAGAGAGGCTCTTTCACAGAAGGAAATTCAATTCCAACTACATAACTCCTTGAGAGGTGCCCTCAGGGACACCAACAGTTAGTTCACAGACCTAAGGATACATCTTCACACCTCCAAGGTTCTCATGCCAAGGAACTGGCAGTGCCGATTCATGCAACTGCCAAGTGCATGGGGTGGCCAATCAGCCCCCTGCATCCCTAGCATCTGCTTCTTGGGATGCTTGGGTTGCCGGAGGTCTGCTAACCCCTCAATTATACAGGAAAGTAGTGTCAAAGCTCACAGGTCCGGAAAAAGCACACAATGACAGTGAGAGCTGGACTGTTACCACTGTCCTGGCCACAAGTGCTCCACAGCTGATGACAAGGTACATCTGGTGCATTATAGTAGTCAGTCTCTAATTTGTACTACAGAAGGCACGTTTATTAGACAGATAGACACGCGTGTCCAGCTAGTCAAATCATCTTGCCTTCCACGTGATGACTTCGAGAGTCTGAAATAATTGACTGACAAAATTTGGCCATGACTCAAAAGCTGGGGGAAGAAAAACGAACCTTGCTGCCTGCCTGACATTAACCACAGAAGCCTTTAGGAACCAAACTAATTAGAACCCTTTCAATTACGTTTGCTAATTGAATGGATAAGCAAAGACAGCATGGGTCAGCCAAAGGAACACTGATTTGGGAAACCAGAGACCCAGGTTTAGTCACAGCTCAGCCACTAAGTCATGTGTGATTTTGTGCAAATTATGTAACCTCTCTGGCTTTAGTTTCTGAATCCACAAAATAAGTGTGATTTGAATTATCTTTAAGGGTTTCTATCTCCAAAGTAGAAAGGAAACTTAAGCAAAGAAACGTTTCTTATTTATTGATTTCAGAGCGAGGGGAAGGGAGGGAGAAAGAGAGAGAGAGAAACATTGACTGGTTGCCTTTCATAGGCACCCAGACCAGGGACAGAGCCTGCAATCCAGGCAAGTGCCCTGACCAGGAATCAGACCCACAACCTTTCAGTTTGCAGGACAACGCCAACCAACTGAGCCACACCAGCTAGAGCAGAAACTCTTCATATTTAGTAACCTAAAGTCCCAGGAAGATACAGCCTCTGTAAAAACAGGGCTGATGGAACAGGAAGCATCTGCAATGACTCGGAACAATACACGGCATTAGCAGGACTCTTCTCTTCCTCCACATCCTCTACTGACCTGGCCGACTCTGGGCCCTGGCCATGCTCTGACCATCATGGCCGCCCCAGAACAATCTCTTGCTAATTCCAACTGCCTCATTCTTATGCCATTATGAATTAGGATGACTCTACTTTTCCATTACCTTGATTTTGATTACAGGAGATTGGCCCCCTTGTGTATCATGGTATCTACAGTCTTTACAGGTTTTCATAGTCAATTTCTCTGGATTTAGATTCATCTACATGTACATGACATATACATGACAATGTATACATGACAATGGCAGGTGGGCAGCAATATGGACAGTAGAAGACAAGGTAAATTAAAGACAAAACCTGCTTTGCTAGGTGAGGGGAAGGAGGAAGAACAGGGGCGTCAGGGCCGGAGTAATCAGAAGGAATTGCATATCCTTTACATATGGCCCTTGCAAGGAGAATACTGTTAACTAGTTGCTCTATGTAAAGAGAAAAATCTCGCTGTCTCTTCCAGACAAAACAGTCACATAAGTCAAGCTTAGCACTGCTTCCAAGTAAGTGGGTCAGAGAAATTGCAAAGAAATTAAGATGAACATGACCTTGGTTAAACTTGCCACTTGGTATTTTTTAATCTTCCCAAGTAGAAAAAGCATACTGTCAGTTCAGAATTACACTCCACTTAAAAAAAACTGACAAAAATGGCTTGTGCCTACATCTTGAAACATTTGGTCAATAATGATGGAGCCCACTGAGCAAGAGGCTTTTAAAGTTCGGATTTAACAAGACCTGAGTGGATGCCAGATCAGATCCCGAGAGAATCACTTAACCAGACATGTTCAGCCTTACAACGCATGAACAACAGGATGGGTTCCAAGTTTTTAAAGAGAAAACAAAAGAGAATCTAATTAAGCCTAGTTCAACCAGAAAACTCATGCAGAAGTGGTGGGAGACTTTTGGCACGGATCAGTGGCATCTCCGAGGAAATTCCTAGACAATGAAAATAAAAAAGCAGGACAAGTTACATGCCACAGATGCTAATGCGTGCAGAGAAATCTGCAAAATCAACACAGGACAGAAAGGATGGTGCAGAATACATTGCTAAGTAGGGGTGCTGCCAAATCACTACCTCCTGGTTTGATTTTCATTTTCGTCATCATTCTTTCATTTAAAAATATGTTTACAGTTCTCTTCCAAAGCACTCTGGACTCAGTGACCTAGCCAAGACAGTGGTATATTTGTCTGTGTGGTCTTGGGGAGTGCAATCAGGGAGAAGTATGTTATAGATACAACAGCATTAGTAACACCCTGCACGTTCGACATGCCAGGTTCTCCAGGAGTTAAGAGGAAGGCATTATTACTATCCCCATTTTATGAGGCAAGAACCTTTAAGTAAAGAGAGGCTAAATCATCCAAAGTCACACAGCAAGCACATGGGAGACCCGAGATTTGGGCCCAGGAGGTGGAAGCAGGCAATGTGGTTCCAGGGCTTTGTTTTCATACCACTTCACTCGCAACTCACTGATTCATGATTTCTCATATACAAAGGCCTAACAGTTACCATGGGTTCTAGCCTCAGAAAAGATGCTGGAAGTTGAAATGATGCATCGTAGGTTAAACCCGAGTTTCTGATAGAAATAATGACATAATAAAGGGATACTGAAACAAGAATGTATAATTTTTTTTAAGGAAATGAGCACAAATAACACCCTAACCAATTATAAATACCCTATTAGAATAGGTTAACATTTAAAGGCATAAATAAGTTGGTTAAATACAGTGATATCAAACATATTCAACATGTCAGCCTTGGCTGGTATGACTCAATAGATTGAGCACCAGCCTGCAAACCGGTTTGATTCCCAGTCAGGGCACATGCCTGGGTTGCCAGCCAGGTCCCCACTTGGGGGTGTGTGAGAAGCAACCAGTCAATGTATCGCTCACTCTTCATACACAGATGTTTCTCTCGCTCTTGTGCTCTCTCCCTTCCTGTCTCTCTAAAAATAAATAAATTCTTTTTTTAAAAAACCATATTCAACATGTCAAAGTTTTTATTCCCTTCACAACCCGTGTAGTATTTTTTACTACTAGGCAGAGCTTGAAGAAAAATCTCTGGGGTCGGCACACGTTGAAGCACTCCTGCCCCGGACCTGCAGGTGTCCACCCTGCCCCTCGCGGAGAGGGAGGGTCCTGCCTGCGGAAAGCACAGCCCAGAGGTGGACGGAGAAGAACCTGACTCTATCCGTGTCCAAAATTCAGCTATGCCTGGGGTTGGACCACTCCCCAACTCTTCAGTTATGAGACAACAAAGTCCCCAGTTTTTGCCTTAAAAAAAAAAGAAGAAAAAGCACTTCTTCAAGATGATGTTCAAAAATCTTTAAAGGAAGCTGACTGCTTTTGACCCAGATACTATTTTATTACTTTTTCCCCCAGCAAATTTCTCACTAAAAATACAGTCAACATTAGAAATCAAGTAGCCAACAACTCTGCAATCTTTGCTGGAGGTCCAAGGTGGTGGCAGATTAGACAGAAAGCACACTAACCTCCTTCCAGGACCAATCCGCAATCTTTGTCGGGACAAAACCTGTTTTCTTAGGCTGCCATTTCATCAGCTCATTTGGCATAGTAATATTGCAGATAAAAGGGGACAAGTGCCCTTAAAATATAAGAATCAAGTCAAATATATTCTGAGTTTTTAAATCCTTAATGCTTTCACTGCACTATTGCGCACAATGGCAAGAAGTTTCAAGATTTTCACCTACATTTTTTTCTACCCCATCCTGACCAGGTCTTCTCGCTGCCTTGTAGTAGAATGAAACTCATTTTTTCTTATTCAAAAACTTTTAAAACTTAACATAACCATGACATAATACTAACATTTTACTATATCAGAACTTACTCATCCAAGTTAATGTTACTTTTTATTTATTTATTTTGTATTTAATTTATTTATTTTTAGAGAGAAGAGAAGGGGAAGAAACATCAATCGGTTGCGCCCTTTCACTTTGCCGGAAGACGCCCAACCAACCGAGCCACAGCCCAGCGGCCAGAGATAATGTTACCTTTTAAAGTAGCACCCGGAGGAAATCACACTCGTTCAAATGACACTGTCACGATTCAGAAGGCTTTTGAAGCTGCCAGCACAAATCCTTTATCAACAGATGTTCTCATTCAGGCCCAAAGCTATTTTACCATTATCTCTCCCTTCGCTCATGCACATCTCACACTCTCCTACCCACCCCCCACTGCTGTGGTTACAATCAATACTCGGAGAACTTCTCAGAGTCAAGGCTCGTAGGGGACCCAGAGATGTGAAGGAGACGGGATGTGGGAAAGAGGATTCCGTCTTCCAGGCCTGCCACTTCAGTGCGAGCCACCAGCCAGAACGTTTCCCACTGTGTGTGGGTGGGGCGGGAGGGCAGAGGGGGGAACAGCAGGCCAGAAGCTAAATCAGGTCTTTACTCTTCACTGCCCTGGGAGGGGCTACTACCCAGAACACATCTTCTTTCCTTCCTCACACCCACTGACATATCTCACAGATGACAAAAAAAAAAAAAAGAGGAAAATCTAGTAACTGAGTCTGTGTCCCAGAACCTTCTCGTTTATTTTCAGGAACTGGAGAGATCTTGCCTCCATGACTTTCATATCAGACTACCTCATTTCTGTCTGTAGGTGACCAAAGACCACACACACTATCAGTGTGCTTTCCTACCAGAAATGAAATGACTCTTAACAATTAATTACTTACTTTTTCCCCCTTAAAAAATGTTTTGGCACTTTATTATTGTCAAAATACAAGTTTAGTAGGAACTTCCCCGTCGTGTTACTTAGTCTTGTGACCTGAGGCACATCTAACACCCTGCCACATCCAACTGGACCTGGTTTCTCCTCCATGGCACTGGGCAGACTGCTGGACACATGGCAGGCACTCCACCTGGTTCAGTTAACCTAAAGTCAAAACCTCTAGGAACCTAGGGACTGAGGCTTCCACTTCTAAAGAAAATTGCTTCTTTACCCCATTCTGCATCTGAATGAATCCCACTTTCTCTGCCATCTGGCTCTTCAGAGAGAACTTCCCTCACTACCCTCTCACCCAATGTAAAACACATTTTCCTAAAAACTAATGAAACTCTTTTTTTTTTTGCCTTAACAGTTTGTCAGCTTTGCTGAGCTGGTGCTACAGCATCAGTATTCAGAGACCCTATGGGCAGAAGCAGCCACAACCCTGACCCTGAAAAGCTCCAAGCTGATTCTCATACAACACTGCTGCTTCCTCACGCTGCACACAGGCCATGGAGCGAAGGAGTTGACGAAGGAGTTGACAATACCGGTTCTGTGGATGGCCTCTGGCTAAATTTCCTAAACCTGCCCTTTATGCAGGCCTTGCATTTCTCAGCATTTATTTCAAGTCTGTTTCCCAGAGGTTGACTACTTAATTCTATACGTTCCTCTCACCTTTTTCTATATTTCTCAGAATTTTTTTTAGTACTACCCAGTTCTGGGATTACATGAATCCCTTAGTTACTACTGTACAAGTTTGTACAAGTAGAATTTCCTTCGTATCTTGAATAAACAAAACTCTAAATTCAGTCACTAATACATGGTCTCCTGTGTATACATATTATAGACAGAAAGAAATAGAGTTAGCAATCAGGTTCGCAACTCCATTGGGTATACGAAAAGCCTGTCATTACTTGAATGTATACTCATTTTTAAACATCCAAATCTTAAGATCTTACCTGTTCACCTGCATCGTGAAACTCTTTGCACGCATCAGGGAACACATCATAAATAACGAGAGGATAGCCGTGTTTCATGAGATTTTTTGCCATTGGATTCCCCATGTTGCCTAGTCCAATGAATCCAACTGGAGTCTTAGATGCCACTGACCTAGAACACACTGATGTCAATGAATCACTTTCAGTTGGAGCAGGTAACATTTTTTACTACAAACATTCATTCAACATTGGCAAACTTTTAAATGATAAACATCAACATTAGTAAGTCAACTGTTATTTTTTTCCCCATTTATCTCCCCCTCCCCCCTCCCTTTGACAACCATCGTCTTGGTCTCTGTTTCTATAGTTCAGTTTGGCCAACTGTTATTTAGATGTTTCCTATTTAAAAAATTTTTAAGATTTTATTTATTTATCTTTAGAAGGGAAGGGAAGGAGAGAGGGAGAGAAATATCAATGTATGGTTGCCTCTCATGTATCTCCTGCTGGGAACTGGCCTGCAACCCAGGCATGTGCCCTGACTGTGAGTCGAACCTCAATCCTTTGGTTCTCAGGCCCATGCTTAATCCACTGAGCTACATCAGCCAGGACTCAATTAAAATTTTTTTGAAAAAAATTTTTTTTTGAAAGGCCAGTTTCAAACTAATGATCTAATCGTGTTTAAAGATGTCAACCACATGCATGCAGACTACCATCTCATTATTTAGTTCTCCAGGAAACAACATATTGTTAAGCAGTCTCTTTCCTGTTTTCTACCTCTAAAACATCCCTTTACCATTTTTAACAATAAACTTTAAAATGTTATCATTTATAGATGCATATTATGTACTTCACCTATTATGTGAAGATTTCTAGATTCCTCATAACTATATTATCTCCTATTATAATGTGTACAAAAATGTCAAGTATTCAATAAAACGTATAGCTTGGCCAAGATCTAAGAAGAGAAAAATTTTCACCTTCCCACCCGCACATTTTTAGAAACCGTCCCATCCAATGGTATTAAAAAAAACAACCTGAATACAACATTAACACAGGAGAATCTATTTCAACCGAAAGTCACCAGTTCATAAATAGGGTTCTAGGAGGAGAGGAACACTTCCAAGGGCTTTAACTGGCCAGAGGAACGGTCTCAGGACCTGGGACTAACGACTCCCTGTACCTTCAGAAAAGACACACTTCCATTTACAGGAAAAATAAAATTGTTCTTAACAAAACCTGTATGCTGGCTTTGTTTTACTTCATTTTCTTCACTTTCACAGAAGGCTTTCTGAAATCACACTGTGGCAAGACAGAGCAGAGAGGCTCTGCATTGCCATGAAAATAACATTAGACGTTATTTCTGTTTCTAGATTTCGACTCTGCTCAACAAGCATTTACTGCGCAAGCTCTGTGACAGAGCTCGGGGACAGACACAAGCAAGTAACGGCCTTGGCCTCAAAAAGTTCCATCAGTGAGAAAAAAAAGAGAAATAACTCCACTTGCTCTTCCCACCTTATTTTTTTTTCCAAGGACACATTTTAAAACTGTAGCTCACCAACACACTACAGTCACCCTTTTAAGTTTCAAGTCCTCTCGATTTGAATCCCCACTCTCCTTGAACTTAATATAAACGCAATGAGATGTCTTAAAAGCAAATTATCTGAACTCCTAATGGTTAGGAATTAGAGGCCTTCTTAGGTCAAAAGCACACTTAATTCCCTCTAACTTAACGACCGTTTCTAACACGTCCATTAAGCACGGGTGCTCTTCTTCTGCAACATCACCTTCCCAGTGCTCAGCTGAACACACTGGGCACAACAGGAATCCTGTGTCTGACTTTCTGGTCATGAGAGGTTCAGTGTGGGGGAAACTTTGCACGCAAGGCCCCCCGTCCGCCACGGATGAAAATAACACTACCAAGACATACATAATCTGCTTGGGGAGGAGAGGTGGTCAATCTCTCATAGGGGAGGGACCAAGAACCCCTTCCTTAACAGCTTTTATTAGCTTCTTAATACACAGGAATACAGGTAAAGCTCATCATCAATCAATGTCAGGCGGCAAGGATCAAACAGTAGATAACATTTCAAAGAAATCTGAGGGCTTAATCTGAGTCAGTGTCTGTCAGGTAAAGGGGTTGCAAAAACTTTGGGAGACATACTCACTTCCTGCTCAGACCCTTATCATATGAATGAAAGTACTCTTAGCAAAGCAGGCTTCTCAGGACTTTGTGAATTCTTATGCCCCATCGCTCCGGAACCCACTCTAGCCAGCAGAGGACTGCACTGCCCTCCCAATCATAGGTTTTTAGGCTTAAGTGGATTAGAGCCAGAAAGCGCTTCTCCCAAACGGAAATGGGGACTCAGACTATGTCAGAATAGCCGGGGGGCGAGGGTCCATCACCCCCCCTTTGCTTCCGCCCCCCAAGTCCTTCCATGAAGGCCTCCCAAGTGATCGTGTCTGGCTTAGGTTGCCCCCCCTCTGAGGGGTCGTACCCATAATTGACTAACCCACCAAGCATTGGGGTCCAGAGATGGATGAAGCAGAAGCAGTGCTCCTGCCAGGGAGATAAGCTTTGTCTCTTTAGTGGCTCATGGTCCGGAGGTCACTCACTCAGCCTTATCCATGGGAGGCAGTTACAACTCCTGAAACCAGGCAGAGCGGTTCCCAACAGTTCGGTGATGATAAATAGTGTATTTGTCAACAGAATAAGAATCAGCGGGGGGAGGGGGGGGGGGGGAATGTATCAACCAGAAGGCTAATTCAACTTTTGAAATATTGAGAGTACAGAAATTCCTAGTGATGAGATCTTAGAAGAGCTGAAGTTAGCCGTTAAAGTTGAGGTAAAAAATAATGAGGCCCAGATTCTGGATGGACCACTGTGAAAATCAATGAAGATGAAGCTTTTAATGGCAGGCTCTATTCTCTTCATATGTGTGATATGGTGGTGTAATTCCATGATTTGATGTCGAAAAAGAAGAGGTTATTTACTGATGGTGATATTTAAGAACTGCTCTCCATTTAAAAGACCTAGATTCCTATTCATGCAAGGTTAATTCTTACACGTATGCCCTTGAACTAGCAAGTTACTTCACTTCTCTAGACATTTTTACCAACAAGAGTAACTCATTCAGAAGGTGGTTGTACCAAGGAGGTAAAAGACCTATATGCAGAAAACTACACAACACTGAAGAAAGAAATCAAGGAAGACACAAATAAATGGAAACATATACCATGTTCATGGATTGGAAGAATTAACCTCATCAAAATGTCCATACTACCCAAAGCAATTTACAGATTCAATGCAATACCTATTAAAGTACCAATGGCATACGTCAAAGACATAGAACAAACACGTCAAAAATGTATATGGAACCATAAATGACCCCAAATAGCAGCTGCAATTTTGAGAAAGAAGAACGAAGTAGGAGGGATCACAATACCTGATACCAAGCTGTATTACAAGGCCACTGTAATCAAAACAGCCTGGTACTGGCATAAAAACAGGCACATAGACCAATGGAACAGAACAGAGAGCCCAGAGATAAACCCAAGTCTCTATGTTCAATTAATATTCAACAAAGGGGGCAGCAACATAAAATAAAGTAAAGATAGCCTCTTCAACAAATGGTATTGGGAGAACTGGACAGCTACATGCAAAAAAATGAAACTCGAGCACCAACTTACACAATACACCAAAATAAAGTCAAAGTGGATAAAAGACTTAAATATAAGCCATGACACCATTAAAGTCCTAGAGGAGAACATTGGCAAGAAAATCTCAGATATTTCACGCAGCAACATTTTTACTGATGTGTCCCCTAGAGCAAGAGACATAAAGAAAAGAATAAACAAATGGGATCTCAACAAAATTAAAAGATTTTGCACAGCTAAAGAAAATAGTATTAAAATAAAAAGAGAACCAACTATATGGGAAAACATATTTGCCAATGATACCTCAGACAAGAGTTTAATCTCCAAAATATACAAAGAACTTACACGACTCCACTCTAAGAAGACACACAACCCGATTAAAAAGTGGGCAAAGGACTTGAACAGACACTCTACAAGGAGGACATACAGAGGATGCAGAGACGCATGAAAAGATGCTCAATATCACTAGCTATCAGAGAGATGCAAATTAAAACCACAATGAGATACCACTTTACACCAGTCAGAATGGCTATCACAAACAAAGCAACAAACAAGTGTTGGAGAGGTTGTGGAGAAAAGGGGACCCTAATCCATTGTTGGTGGGATTGCAGACTGGTACAACCACTATGAAAAACAGTCTGGAATTTTCTCAGAAAACTAAAAATGGACCTGCCTTTTGACCCAGCAATACTACTGCTAGGATTATATCCTAAGAACCCTGAAACAGCAATCCAAAAGAACCTGTACATCCCAATGTTCATAGCAGCACAATTTACAACAGCCACGAGTTGGAAGCAACCTAGGTGCCCATCAGTAAATGAATGGATTCAAAAACTATGGTACATTTACACAATGGAATTCTATGCAGCAGAAAGAAAGAAGAAGCTCCTACCCTTTGCAACAGCATGGATGGAAATGGAAAACATTATGCTGAGTGAAATAAGCCAGGCGTTAAAAGACAAATACCATATGATCTCACCTTTAAAGGAAGCTAAATAACAAAACAAACAAGCAACCAAAATACAACCAAATACACTGAAATAGAGAATAGGCGGACAGTGTCCAGAGGGGAGGGAATTTCAGGGGAAAGGGGGAAGAAAGGTTTACAGGAACAAGTATAAAGGACACATGGACAACAACTAAGGGGGGTGGAAATGGGAGGGAGGTGGGGAGTACTGGGGGGATGGGCTGGGATGGGAGTAAAAGACAGAAAACTGTACTTGAACAACAATTAAATTAAAAAAATAAAAAAAATAAAAAGAGAAGGTGGTTGTAAATACTTGAGATAAATGATGTAAAGCATTAATAGTACCTGGCACATGATAGTAAATATCTGCTACTTTTGTTTTCAATGGTCAAGAAGTAACACGAGGATACTAGTCCTATGGCAGATGTCCCTTTCTTGCTTAGCAGGTTAGAAGAGTCAGAGTGTTAGAACAGGGGATGGAGACTACTTTAGAAGAATGCCGTGTGTCTAAGGAAACACGGCTTTTAGTTAAGGTGATATAGCAGAAGCCATGCTTGGACAATACAGAAAAATATGCTCTTAAAGGAGAAGAAATTCAAAGGAGTATAATAGAATCATTATTCTAAAAATTTGCAAACCTAAATAATACACCTTCCTTTAAGTTACACAGACAATATCTGGAAATAGTGCAGTTAGACAGTAACTCCAATCAAATTAGCAGAAAAGCAGTCAATGCAATGCAAAGGAACTAGGTGGAAAATTTGATAGTTAGGTTCTAAATTTACAGATTTAGGAATTATGTTCCATTTCTCCCATGGGATGTGGGCAAAGTTACCCATATCCTGGATAACCTGAATTAAGTGCTACCAAAAATGAGGCTTCTCTAAGTTTCAAAATGTAAAAATTGTAATGGGTTAATTATTTCCCATTTCCAAAGATTTTTTTCCCTAATCAAAGTGATGCATTTCATTGTATCGATAGATAATGGGAAAATACAAAAAAGTATAGAGTCATAAGGGAACAAGTTAACCTCACCACACAAAAAAATCATCACTGTCTTTTGAATGTATGTTCTCATCATGTCAGATTATGTTTCATACACGCTTTGTGTCTTGCTCTATCACACAATATTGTTCTAAGCATTCTATCTGCTTAAGAGTCACTCAAGTAAGGATAGTGACTTACTCTATAAAGGCCTTTACTGTTTGAGTCAAGTTATTGCAGAAATAAACATTCTCCCTATGTAATTTCATAAGTTCAAGGTCAACTTTTGGTCCCAGAGCCATGAGCTGCTTTTCAGAGCTCTAGGTGGATCCCTAGAAGCTAATGTAGAAAGGAAAAAATGACATTATATACTTTATTTATGCTATGTGTTGTTTTGAAAGTATATTGCTTACTCACAAAAAGGGCCAATAACAAAAAAATTATTATGCCCATTTCTGTACCTGATGCTGGTTAATTTTCCCATTCTACCTCTGGTCAGGTGCTTCCCCTGAAGATGATCCGATACAAATTCTTTTTCTATGTACCTGCTGATGAGTCATAATGACTGTCAAGGGCCTATGTGTATAGGTTTTTTTCGAATCTGTATAAAGAAGTCTAAAACTAAATTTAATTACCTTCTAAGATAAAATACAAAACTTACTTTTACTAAGTGGTGATCAAATACTAATATACATATATAGTTTAATATTGCTAATTCTTCTATTTCTTTTTTCATACCATAAATATTTTTAAATTAAGATGTGCTATTAACTAGCAAATTTCAGGTCTCCTCCTTTAAAAATAGTAAATAACTGTACAGATCTTTATAATATTACCATACATGATATAAACATCTTAAAACACACTATGGTGACAAGTAACCCACAGAATTCAGAACACTAAATAATGTTACTATTTGAACATAGTTCTCTTTCTTAATGTCCCTGGACTCCAAACTTGCATGTAGCTATTTTAAGACTCCAGTGTCAAGGAAGTTCACAGTTTTGTAGTAAACTGAGATGAACAGAAACACTTAAAAACAATTCCAGAGTAAAAACAACTGCTAAAGTGTTTTGAAACAATCATCACAAAAAGAACTATTTGTCATTTATCATAAATCTACACCCATAGAGCATCTTTGGGTCAAAGAACCTATGGAACAAGAGCACATGCCAAAGCCGTCTAACCAGCACTGTGCAACAGCACTCCACTTTAGAGAGACAAGTATTAGAGCTTGGGGCCTCCGGCTCTGCTATCATGAACCGTAACAACTTTCTTAACTCCAAAAGGTGCAGCAAGTGTTCAATAAAAGATCATCTGAACACCCTATAAAACCGCTCTAACAAAACGTCATCCTTGGCTAATCAAAACTGAAAGAATTGCACATTCTGGTGAAAACTGGTGCAACATTTACTACTGTGGAAAAATAAACTAATCAATTTTTTTTAAGTATCTCTAAAGTAGGAGGCATTTTTTTTTTTTGGTAGCTCAGTACAGTAGCTCAAATAGCGGTTACACTAAAGTTTGGCAGATTCAGTGAGTTTGCACGTTGTTGCTGTGACTCTGCATCTGACATCTGTTCTCTTGCCTCACAAGGAGCCTGCCCTACTCAAACCAAGGAGGAAACTCACTCTTCTGCTTAGCTTTTACTGAGGGAGGAAGGGGAGCTATTAAGAACTCAATTCTGAGCATGCTGGGTTTTTTAAATCAAATATATATACATACACTAATACCAAGGCTTTTTAAAAATCCTGAGTATGCTCTTGCTAAACTGTGCTACTTGCTAAACTGTGTTACAACTCTCACACTTTTACAGGAAAACAATAGCAGTGTCCACACAAATCAACCAACTTTTCAATTAAAGAGGAATCCTGGTGTAATAGAAAATTCATGGATGAGGATGAATCGAGGACTTTCTAGATCCTGCTGGACAGGATCTACATTCACTAATTCACTTGCCCAAGGGGCCTCAGGTTCTTCACCTGAAAAATGAAAAAAAATCTACCTCTGTGGGTTTAAAAACTGCGGCTTCCTAAGTCAATGGTTAACTTCCATAACTTGCGGGGAGAGGAAGAGGATAGGTTCAGGCCACGATTTTGAGGATGTTGAAAGTGTTTTGGTTAGTAATTTGACAGAAGTGCCATCTTCAGGTAGCATAGTTCCAAAGAAGTAGAGGTGGGAAGTCTGCCTTGCGGGTCAAAGGTGAGTTATAACTTTGCTGGAATGATCTACTACCTGGTTTGCACTGACACCACTCTAATACGATTAAGTTGGTTAAACAAAAATCAGGCCCCTCTGCCCAAGGGGGCGCCCGCCCAGAATGCACCCGGGCGGGGCGCTGAGAAAGCCGGCCAGCCCTGAATCACCGAGGAGTCTCAGGGGTGGATAGAGGGTCGCCCCCGAGGCTGGGCCCTTCACTTGTCCTCCGAGCCCTAACTCCAAAGGAGCACACCCCAGACCCAAATATTCTTCCCTTTACCCCAAGGTCTTCCCACCACTACTTAAGTCCCAAAAAGGGTGCTCGACTAACGCCATTCATTTGGATTCAGGGCAAGGTTATGGGGGGGGGGGGGGAGCACGAGCGGCGCAAAGGCAGCCGCAAAAAACGCCAGTCCTTGGGATCAGCCAAAATGTTGGGTTTTAAGCCCCGATCCAACCTCAGCGCCTCCCGTGAAAAGACATTTTCGGCGGCCAGGGCGCGAGAGGAAGGCGGCCGGAGGAGGGACGTGGGAAGGAGGCACGAAGTCCTTACCCGCTGCAATGTTAGACGCGGCCGGCCACTGCCGGCGGCCCCAGTGCTGGAGGCCGGAGGCGGCTCCACGGAGCCAAACGGAGGCTGCCATTGCTGCCCCCGCCCCGCCTCCCCGCGTTGACCTCCGCAGCTCCGGCTCCAACACAGTCTGCGAGCGTGCGCTGCGAGACAGGCAGGCAAAGGACCGGCTAGGGGCCGAGCACGCACACGCTCTGCCACGGGGGTGGACAAACACCCGCGAGGGGCGGAGCACAGCCCCGAGAAGCACCGCCCGTCAAAACAAGTGCAGTCAATCCAGGGAGCGCACCAATCAAGATTCGCGGGTCCTCCGCACTTCGAGAATCACCAATAGGAGGCCTCTATAGTGCTTACGTAATGCTGCCTGGCCCCGCCCCAGAGCTTTGTCTTATTTACAAACTGCGGGCACGTCTCCTCGTTTACCAAAAAGCGGAGGGTGTGTAGGAGGCGTTGGCTGTCACTACCCCATCCTCCGAGCACCTGACTCCCAGAACCACCCCCTCAGAGGGTTGTAAGTGCCTATATTGCCTCCCTGAAAGCAAGTAGTAAACTTCCACTTGCAGCTACTGCTGCTGCAATTTTTAAGCAAGAGAAGAAATTACTGTTTTCTAAGTATGGGACTTTTAACTGCAATAATACGTGGGTCTCTTCATTGGGAAACATTCATAAATCTACCATGAACACAGTAAGTGTCTTAAATTTATTTGATTTTAGTTATCCAACAGTTTCTTTAATAAATTTGAAAAATAGTAGGAAAACAAGTTGATAATGTTGTTCTCTTTGAAGTGTGGAATTACAAGGAAGTAACACACTATTCTAATATACTTGTCTAATATTTGAGCATTCTGCATCTATTTCGTTAGCAAAAATAAAAGGTACACAAAAGTCCAGAAAATAGTGTGTGCATATGCCAGAGAGATTTATGCATTCCGTGTGTGCTTGATGTACGTATTTGAACTTCATCTAGTTGGTGATAATTGCAGCACCTGACCTTTCCACTGACCTCGATCAAAGGGTTGGGAGCCATGCACACAGCAAAGCAAGGCTTGCAGCCTTTGCAGAAGGTTAGTACAGGAGGAAAGAGGGAGTAGTGGCTAGAGGGAATGGGACCCCCTGCCAGGGTACCCACTACCCTCCCCGAATACAGTTTATTTATCCATTTGCCTAAGTTGTGCTCACCCAACATTTAAAAAAATATTTTATTTACTTATTTTCAGAGAAAGGGGAAGGGAGAGAGAAAAAGGGAGAGAAACATCAATGTATGGTTGCCTCTTGCAGGCCCCCAACTAGGGACCTGGACCACACCCCAGATATATGCCCTGACTGGGAATCAAACCTGTGAGCTTTCGGTTTGTAGGCCAGCACTCATTCTACTGAGACACAGCAGCCAGGACTTACCCAAATTTTTAATCTATGTGGCAGAATCAGCAGATTTGACTTTGACCTTTTGCCCAGTAACTTGAGCAGTTGGAACTGCTTAAAGAAAAAGCAAAGAATATAGATAATTTCCAAGCAGGCTCTCTCATGATTCTGGGCTTGCTAGCAATGTTCCCAGGGACTGGTACAGAATGCAAGATTCTCATTTGTAAGTGGTATGAAAATAGTTCCCTTGTCTGGCTGTCTCTCCACCCAAACCTTTACTCCACACCAACCAAAAAGAAGGAAGGGAGGAAGAAAGGGAAGGAAAAAAATCATTTCTAAAAAAAAAAATCATTACTGCCATCGGAAGTCTCCTAGCATTTTCTACCTGACCCTGTCTTCCTGGTTTATTTAGATCTTAGTTGGAATAGACCTCCTGTAACCAATCAATGTAGCTCTGGGCAGGTTTCTATAATTAACTGCTGAAACGTGCCTGCCTTTCAACTATGTCAACCTACATAGCAGAGCTATTTACAACACAGGACAACGTATCAATTGATCTCCCAGATCCTAAAGTTTATATCCCAGTCCTCCTGAGATTGTATATTCAATCGGATTGTTTTTGTCATTTTTATTGTGAGCTACTGTTTTGTTTCTCTGGGTTGTCTATAGGGCTCTTTTCTTGAAAATTAGTATTACTTTCCAAAGGGTTGCCTTCTATGAACAGTGTCCTCCTAGAACTCCAAGCAGGGCTCAGAAAGAGGAGCAGGGAGAACCGAAGCTGGGCATGAGATCTTCTGAATTTTTTTTTAGCTGATGTAATGGCTTTGAAAAGGGAGTGAGTGGCACTGAAAATTTGATTCTTTTTGCTCAGCTAGAACGAGGGCATAAATCACAACTTTTCCGTATCCTTACAATATGTAGTTGAACATCTCTTCTCCAAAGCACTATACAGGTTTATAAATTAAGGCTCTGAGATTTTTCACAGAACTTTTGCATAAGCATTATGATTTCTAATTACTGGTGCTTGAAGGTGATTGCAGATGTTATTGTATTTGTAAAGGCAGTTACTACCTGTGGCTGGCTGCTTTATATGGTTGCCTTCCTGGTATGTTTGTTTGAAAGGCACTGAACTTCTCCCTAAGTTCGTGATACTAGTTTGGTTTAAAATTGTGTTCCTGTGTATTATAGGCCCTTTATCTCTGCTTCTGGGAAGATGGAAAAGGTATAATTTTCTCTATCCCTCCCCATAAGTACAACTAGAACCTCTGGACATTATATATATAGAATAGATGGAGAAAAGAAGGCATGCCAGATAGAGACCTCAGGACCCAAAAAGGAACAGTGTTAAGTTCTTGAGTTTTAATTTAGCTTTATGTTCCCATACTGGGTCCCAGAGAAGCCAAAAACCAGAAACCTGAAACTGCCAGCAGGCACAGACAAAAATGTCTCACTAAAAGGCTACTAGCCAAAGGATGAAAAAGATGCAACCTACCAACATAGATAACTTTGAGAAAGTAACCACTCTACTCTAAACAAATACCGCACAATAATAACGTATGGCCTCATCCCCACCATGCCAGCAAAGGCTGAGTGAAGAGCCTACATTTGCACAATATCCAGGCTATAATGAGACAGCCCAACACCCTAACACCCTTATCGCCCTCCTCCTCAGCTCCACTGATATGATGTCAGAGAAGGCCAAGTAGAGACACCGGACTTACATTCCCACTCCTGGCTGGTAACGAGAACCCCCCCTCACATGCCCCTCCCCCATCCTCATGGGTGTCATTGGAGACTTGTGGGGACTCTGGACTTCCACTGCTATCTGACACTAATGAGACACCCCTCCCTGTCCCTGTGTGGTGAGGTCAGAGGAGGGGCTGAGTGGAGAATCAGGACTTTCACCACTGCCCAGTGGAAGGAGGCCACCCCTCCCCACTGTGGTGCCAATGGATGCCACGTGGGGGGCACTCCTACCCCTGCCAGCTAGGAAGGTATCGATGGAAGTCTGGCAGGGAATTGAGACTCCCAGCCCACCAGTAATGAGGGGCCCTCCTCCCACCCATGTGTGTCAACAAAGGCAGACAGACAACCTAGACACCTGTCTGGCATTGGCAAAGATGGTGTTCCCTCCAGGCCTCCCTTTCTAGGGTGGTGTCAGGAAAAGCCAGCTAAAATAGGCAGTTTGAGTGAGATCCAGAGTGTCATCATAACCAAAATGTCCATATTTTAATAGAAAGTCATTCATCATGTCAAGAACCAGGAATATCTCTAAGTGAATGGGGAAAAACGTCAATGTCAAGATAACAGAGGAGTTTAAATTAGCTGACCAAGATTTTAAAGAAGTGTCAGGAAAATATTTGAATGAGCAAGGAGAACACGGTTAAAACAAGTGAAAAAAAAAACAGCCTCAGCAAAGAAATAGAAAGGCCAGCAAAGAATACAGAAGATATAAAGAAGAAATTAATGGGGAATTTAGAACAGAACAGGTGTCTTTTGAGACGTCAACACCCATCTGCTAGTTATCCACACACCCTGAGCTGTAGCTTCAATGCTTTAGGTGTCCCACCCACGCTCTGTAAAGCCAGGTATATCGAAGGGGTCCAACTCTTAACTCTGTAAGACTCTGTAAGACAGAAAATCAAACCTAAAGTTATTCACCACATTCCAATCTTCCTCCAGTGGGTTCTGTGTATTACCTTATGTGTCAAGGGTCCCCCAAATCACCCCTAGGTTTAGGGATTTGCTAGAAGAACCCAAGACTGAGCATATAGTCATATTCGTGGCTATGATTCATTACAGCAAAGAGACACAAAGTCTTGAAGGTAGTGGGAGCCTGCCCAGGCGTCAGACTCAGGATTTTGTTGGCTCTGGCCACACATGCACTTGCCTACCCATCTCACAGACTCTCCTCCAGAGTGGCACCATGCAAAGGAATGCAATGCGAGCTGCCAGTCATTTTAAGTTTTCTGGTAGCCACATGTTAAAAGAATAAAAGCAACAAGTGAAGTTAATTTTAATATATTTTATTTGGCCCAATATATAAAATGTTATCATTTCCTCATATAATCAGTGCTGAAAGTTATCAATGAGATATTTTATATCCTTTTTTTTCATGGTAACTCTTTGAAATCGGGGTCTGTTTCATATTTACAGCACATCTTAATCCAGACCAGCCACATTTCAAGTGCTCAGTAGCCACATGTGGCCAGTGGCTACCGAATTGGACAGTGCAGCTCTAGAGAAAGGGAAAGGCCAAGAGGTCACTCAGCACCCAGCCATTGTCACACCAGTCAGGAAGCTGGCAACCTTGTCATGCACATTGTCCCCAGGCATTCCTTTGAAATAGAGACTGAGGCCTCCAATGCCATTGTCTCAAGGAAATGCCTGAGCTGGTGCCCTGCTACACATACAGTAGTTTCACACAGACAAAAGCCAGATGAGCTAATGACAAGGGTATAGAAACAGCTCCTCACCATGAAGTGCACCTTCAGCTCCTAAAGTCCCCCCCCCCCCGAAAAACTGTCCTGCTCTTATCAGGACAAGAATGAAGCCCTAAGCAGCTAGGTGCCCCTGGAAATTAGGGCCAGGGGCTTCATTCTTCCAGTGGTTAATTTTAGGTGTTCATAGTCTTTGACACTAAAAGTCAGAAAGCTACTCCATCGCAGATCAACCATTCAAAAACCTCTGAACTCCTGTAACTTTGCAAAGATTGGCAAACCTCCTCCAGTGACACCAAAGGAAAATCCCTACCTGTGTCCACGGTTGGCAGAACTCTGGGAGTACCCTGGAGGTTCATACATGGTGTGAACTGGGAGTCAAGAAGACCTCTAGGAGTCTACCTGTCCCAGTAGACAAAACCTGGAGCCAGGCCCTTCTGCTATGCCAGGATGCAAACTGAGAGGGCCACAGCGGCCCTTACAACAGAACTGATTTGACTCATTAGGGACTCTAATAGTCCCACATGCAACATAACATCTTTCATTAGCCAGATAAATGCAAAGGATAATGCTCTTGGCCAAAAGACTAGTCAGTGATTCCCAAGAAGCTATTATTCTTTTTCCTGCCCCCTGAGTCTATTAGGAGACAATGTCATGCAACTTAATCAGACACCAGCCTTTTTCTCTGGGTTCATCTCAGGGGTGATGGGCCTATGGATGAAGATAGTCTATGTATCCCCTCTACCTGCTTACTCTTGGCTCTGGAAATTCTACCACACACCTGCAAGATGCACCTGCAAAATGTGGGAATAGTACAGACCACCAAATAGGTTCTTCTACAGAACTCTTGGGAGGGGGGCCTACTTGGAACCACTTAATAAGG